ACGCTGGGCAGCTGGGAGGCACGCAGGCTGCTTTTCCCGTACCTGGCATGTATGGTTGGTTCGTTGTAAAACTTCTGCCCAGCCCCATTCAAAATCCCTATAACAAGACCTCTGTCTTAGCAAAAGTTTGGGCTGGGCTGATGCTGCAAGCTGGGTGGGGAGGAAACTCATCCCGACATCCCCCCCACTGAACCAACAAAATCCACGCATGGCACACACCAATGGTTTTCTTGCCATGGGGAGGAGCGTAGTTTATTTTCTACCATTGGGTGCCCTCTTGTTCCAGCCTGTTCCTTCCCCACCAGGCTGAGACGCTGCCAGCTCCAGTGGGACCTGCCTTTCCTCTGCCTGCAAGGGCCCCTGCCGTGCCGGAGCTGCAAACCTTACCAACTTCTTATTTCCTTTTCAGTGAGCCCGGGGGAAGAGAGCGCCCGTGTGCGGATCGCCTCCCACCGTGCCTGTTCTCCCAGCTGCTGGCAGTGAGCTCTGGCGTGCCGGAGGACCACCCCGCCGCGGCGGCCACTCCTCGCCACCCTGCAGCGGAGACAACCGGCTCCTGCCAGGTAGATGCCCGCGGGGGAGAAGAGAGCTTCAGCTGAACTGATGCATCTCGGCACCTGATAGCAGGCTCAGGTGAGGGCACATTCCTTGGAGACGGCTTGCATTTCCATGCTCCCTCCTCCAAACTCACAAACGGGCTCCGTAGCAGATGAGAATCGCCCCATGAGCTGTTGTGTGCCGTGGGTGCCCGGCGGGAGTTCATCTGCGACGATGCCGGATGCTCTGGCTCGTGGGGACGTTGCTGGTGGTGTCAAAGCGAGTTGCAGTGGAGGTTCTCGCTTGGGTGTTCCCATTGCCTCTGCTAAGGGAGAGCGAGCGTGTTTTTATCCAGCGCAGCATCCGGCTCGGGTTTGGATACAAGGCAAGTTCACTGGGACAGGAGCTCATCTGAATTTTCTGTAGCACATCTGCAACTCACATAAAGTGATCTATGGGCAGTCATTTTCGCAGAGTCCAAGACAGAACATAAACCTCCATGCAGTTTGTCTGGCTTAGTGCTCCTTATGCTCTTAAAAAACAAAAACAAAACAAAAAAAAAAGGTTTGCTTGTGTGCTCTTGAGTTTTTGTTGTAGTCAAGGAAATAAACAGGCAAACAGGATCTCCTGTATCTTGGTTCATCCTGCTTGACAGCGATTTCACTCCTGAAGCCACAATTCACTTTGTGAGTGCAAGTCTGATTTCCTTTTCGGCAGCAGGGCTGTGGGTGAGTGCCAGATTTGGGCTAAGGCTGGTGCTGCATTGTTTTGAAGCTGGTGCCTGGCCAGGGCGCTTTCAGTCTGGGTTTGTGGATGGGAGAGGAGCTGCAGGTGGGGATCAGCAGAAGCCCTCGAGGCAAGCGCATCGAGTGTGCTGTCCATTTCGGCACTGAAATTTGGGTTTCTTGTAAAAACTCCTGTGGTGCTGGGGGTGGGGGGGCTGGCTGGTCTTGTACCGAGACCTGGGGAGCAGCTTGGCTTCCGTGTGGGAAGCCGGGTCTCACCAAGCCGAAGCTCTGCTTGCAGCCGGCGGCGCGTGGCTGTCACTTCCTCCTGCGGCTTGTCACCCCCTGGGCACGCAGCCCTGCAGCAGCCCGTGGCTCCTCCCCATGTCCTGGGAGGCTCCAAGGTTTCCTTGGGCCACGGCGACGCAGCTGAAGCAGACCCAAAGCCGGGCTCCTGCTGGCCGCGCTTGGTTAAGGGGGGGTGTGCAGCAGCATCTTTGCTTTTGAAAGGCTTTTCAAAGAAAGATGACAGCTTGCCTTAGCTTGCAGCTGCTGGTTGTGCCCCCCAAATGACACCAGGCAGCCGGGACGGGGAGTTCGCTGCAAGCCGATAGCCTGCATGGTTTGAAGCGTGTCGAGGCGCCCGTTTTGTGCGCTTAAAAAAACCCCGCTAGGGTTTATTCAACCCTTTGCAGCTTGCTTTCGCTGCTTTGTAAGCAGACTTTTGCACTGCTTCGTGTGGCTGGGGAGCTCTGCAGAGAGACCTGGACAGGCTGGATCCATGGGCCGAGGCCAACTGTATGAGGTTCAACAAGGCCAAGGGCCGGGTCCTGCCCTGGGGTCACAAGAACCCCACGCAGCGCTACAGG